TTCTTTATTTATCATTAAAAAAAGATTTAACTATTAGAATATATAAAAAATATTAAATTCATGTAAATTACTTATAGTTTTAATAAAAACTTATACCGTATCATTCCGAAATTAAACACCCCTGAAAGTAAGCACCCTCGAATTATTACAGTTCTAAAAATAAACATCCCCTCGAAAATTATAAATTTTTTTAGTTGTTTTAGTAATTAACAAATAAATACTTAAATAAATATTAAATTGTTATCAAAAACGTGCATTTTTTATATTTTTATTATATTGCAAGATTTACATTACCGATCTGTAATATTTTTCATTAAAGCATTTATATTAATTAATCTAAACCACTATGGTAAATATTTGGCATCATCATCACTATCAATGACATTATTATCATCATCGACGTCCTCATCATCACCATTAACAATATCATCATCATTATCGACGTCCACATCAACGTCCTCATCATCATCGCAATTGATATCATCATCACTATCGATGTCATCAACTTCATCACCATTGATATCACTAGTGATTTCATCATCCAATCTGTTTAAAGGAGTTGATATCTTGCAACTTTCAAAAGACTCCATAATCATTTCATTTGGGATTTCTTTCTAAGCATGTTTGACCCACCCACAAATATCGGATAATTTAGCATAATGAAGATTTCCCGCAGGAGTCACTTTGGCACCACTTTCAGCCATCTAAAGATGCCATTCTTTGCGAAGATTATCCTTGAATGGCTTATTAATAATGACATTGAGTGGTTGACAAATACTGGTTAAACCACCCGAAATAACTGCCACTATCACGAAACTTACTCTTAACAGATTCTTTTATATGTCCTGGAAAGGAGTCGTATACCATCATCATTGAGTATTATTAATAATATCATTAATATAATCAACGTAACTTTTCATTAAATCAGTATCTATCCATCTATTTTTTTGAAATCAAGCGATAACACTAGATGGAATTTGTTCACCGCGTGATAATTGTTTTCCTTTAAAGATGCAAATCGGAGGAAATTTTGTTCTATCTGTATGTAGAAAATGTTTAATTATGGTAATTAAAAAAAAATCTTTAAATTTTGCAGGAATAATAAAATGATTCCTACCTGTGACACATATCAAAACAACTGTGAATCAATTTTTTTCATTTCCAGTCCTGCGAATATGGACTGTCTTTTCACCTGTTTGGTCAATAATAAAATTTCCTGCCATGTCGAACCAGACAGGAGTTTCGTTCATATTGAGAATATTGGACAATTCAAACGATTTTTCGGTTCTAAGGCAGATAATAAATTAATGAAAGTTTTTTAGTAATTCGTTGGTTTGTATAGAAAGCTTTTAGGAAATTCTGGTACGATACCACTGAGACAGCTTATATCTCTTCATAAAAGCAAACATCTAACGAGATGACGTTTTAAATGCTGAATTTCCATAAAGGTTTATCATCTCAGGCTCCTTTAAGATGTCTAGCATTTTGACTCGTGCGATCGCATAAGTAATGCCTAATCCCTGTTTCCTCTGCTCTATAATCCATTTATATAGCTTTTTTTCAGTTTTAGGGTAAAATTCTTTTCGTTTAGCACTAACTCGCTTGACATTTTGATCTATCTCAGCCCATTTATTGTTTGTCTTAATCCAATGATCAACCATGCTACCATCAAGTCTAAAGTGTCTCGCAGCTTCATTTCTTCCATTTTCTTTAGCATAATTAACGACTTGCCTCTTTTGCTCAATAGAATATGAATTTCGACTTCGTATGACGCGTTTAAGAGTTTTTTTCCCTTTTATTTCTTGACTGCATGCGTGAATAAGGCATTTTAAAAATAACAAGAACGCGGCAAAAAAAACGCAACTTTTTTAAGAATCGTAAGTTACATTACTTTATGTACATCACACTATTTGCATTACATTATATAAAAAAATCAGCAATTGTTATTATTAAATTCATCAAAATTTATTACTAAAATATTATTAAAATGAAATTTTTTAAAAAATATCTAAAATTAAGCACCCCTATAATAAAAAAAGGGTGCTTAATTTCAGAATGGTACGGTATTTTAGTTTTCTTTTAAATTTATTTTTAATTTATTTAGCTAACTGAATATTAATTACTTTTTCTTTATAAAAAACTTAAATAATTCAAAAAATTGTGATTTTAAAAAATTTAAGCATTTTAATATAAATGCTTTTATGATACTACCTTTAAAAAGACTAATAATTTGCTTGTATTCAGATTCTATTTTTATTAAGTCACATATTATACTTAATCTTATTTTATTAATCATATTTGATATTCATTTATTTATAAAATAATCATTAAATCATTATTTATATAAATTATAAGTTATTATCTATTAAAATTTCAGTTTAAATTATTATATATATTTATGAAAACTAAATTATAATTTAAGGTTTATTATTTTTATCTAAGTAATATATGTTTATAAGTTCAATATAAATATGATTATTAAAATAAAAAAATTATGCAAAATATATTTAATTAAAGAAAATTTCATTATAAAATAATCTGTAAATAATAACATTATATCTTATCTATATTGTTTTAAAAAAAACATACTTTGAAAAATTCTAGTTAATAAAATAGTGCATTAAACCTAAGATTATTATTTTATTGTTAATATTATTTATAAATATTAATCTCATTAATAATATTATTAGAAAATAATAATATTAAGCAAAATTTAATATGCTTTTTAAAAATATTATTAAATATAATAATCTTATATTTTATATTGATAAGTCTTTATAAATTTTATCTATTAAATTTTATAATATAGGTTTAAGATGATTTTGTATATTACTTTCAAATATTTATCAGTAAAACTTCTTTAATATATCTATTAATACTTCAATTCAAGCAGAGCTATTTACTCTTATTAAGTATTAATAGGTTTTCTCATTTATAATTAAAGATGATTTTTATAATTGTTTTCAAATTTTAATTGAATTGTAACTTAATTGCATCATAAGAAAATTTAATTGTGTTACAATTTGATTCAATTGTATCTTTTTTTAATTGTGATATTCATCTTTATTTACAATAATTTTAGATAATTAAATAACTATACAAAAATTTGAACAAATTATGTATAATTATAAAATTATAATAAAAACTAAAAAAAAATCTTAAATTATCCAATTTAATTAATTATTAAACATATTATTAATACCTTTTCATTAGATATAAATTTAATTTAAGTTAATAAACAATCTAAAGATTGTTTTAATAACTAAATAAACAGACTTATTAAAAAAGGATATCTCAAATTTTCAATTAATTTAATTTACTATATATTTATAGATGATATACAATTCTTAATAATTATTGATAATAAATATAATCAACTTAAAATATTCTTAAAAAAATTCTAAAGAACCCTAAATGCTACTATACAATTTTTATCATTATTAAACTTATAAAGAAATTTGTTTCTGATTAACAATAATATTTCATAATAATATACTTTAAAGATATTTAATATTATGGATATTCTTTTTTTAATATTATTTTTACAATGATAAAAAAAAAGTATTTAATATTAAGTTATTAACAGAAGATTTTTCTATTTAAAAAGGAAATCAGATACTTATAGATTGAAAATATACTTGCTGCAATTCATTTAAAAAAGATTATTATCATTTTTGAATTTGTTTAAATAAAATAAAAATTGTCAGATGATTATATTAAACATTATAGAATTTTTAAAAGAACGAATTTTACATAAATTTAGAAAAAATCAAACTAGAATAGCTTATTTTTACTCTTTGCAATTCCGCTTCATTTAATTTAACAAAATAATTTGAATGATATCATTCTTTTTGTTAAGAGCTTTATATTAAAAAGTTTATGTAGATTAGTTAAACTAATATTTTTTTTTCAAAAATACTGTAGATTTATTGATTGTTCTCAATAATTTCATAATTGATTCATTTTATAACTGAGTTTGTTTTCTATATGTGAAATCACAGTCAAAATGTGAAAAACTTTAGAAATATTAAGAAAATTAAAAAGAACGTAAGCCTTCTTAAAGACTCTTAAACTCATAATTATATATTCTAACTGATGGATTTATAAATTTGGTTACTTATACATAGACAGAATGGTTAAATGGATACTGACAGTTCATTTGATCTTTTGGTCTGAGTTTCCGGTGATTGACGGGTTTGAAATAGAATTACAAGGGAAAATTATAATTTAGATTAGTTTACTTTATTATAAATATAACACAGTACTACATCGAAAAAAAAAACTGTATATAGTTAACTGCTTCCGGATATTTTCAAACAGAATCCCAATACTCATCAATATCAATCAAAAGCAGGAGTGAGAGTTTTTCTCATTACGGTATAATCCTTCTGTTAACTGGATAATCCTTTCAAATCCAAAATCGGTTAAAGGCTTGTTCCAATACTCCTGCATCAGGTCTTTTAGCTTCAAGTATCTCAATAAATCTGTGCCACCCATGATGTATAGCTTTACATCATTAACTTGAAATGGTTTCCAGCAACGGAAACTGATTTTAATGAATCTTAGGACGGTAATATTCATAAAAATCATATAAGCAGAAACGATGATATATGCTATATTTTTTCTGTAATAATAAATCTTGAAGGGCAATTCTAATCAATAATTTATCATACTCTTTTTCATTATTTTCACTATTAATCCCAGTATGAACTGTAATATTCATATCATATCCATGTCGATTACTAATGGGCTTAGGTTGTTTTTTGTCAATAATCATATTAACATTAAGAGCGCTTGTCAAAATAACATGATTCAAACTAAATGCATGGCGCAGAAAAAAAAATCATGTGCGCGTTCGGGAAAAAAATTCTCAAACGGTATACAGTATATTTTTATTATAAATTGCTAAACGAAATATATAATTTCCACTAAATAATTATATATCATGTTTCCGAATATAAGCTAAATTATCTCATATAGCAAAAAATTTCTATTATATGTTATGACTTATTACTTTTCGGCGTCCACCATGGTTTAAAAATATATTCAGATTTACAATGGACATGTTTATTCACAGGATCGCTATTGTTGCTGAAAATATCATCAAGCGCATTATGTGTACTTACTTTACTTTCCACTATCTTGTTTGTTTGGTTGTACTTTTCCTATGCAAATGTCATAAAGTTAGGTATGTAAACCTTTAATAAGCAAACGAAAATCATAAGCTCACCATAACAAACTTGATAATATTAACAGCCAACTTTAGATTTTCGATATGTTGCAGTTTTGTGGGAAATTCAAATGTCGATCCGGGAAAGACAACATAAAACCCCTCAACTAGATCTTCAACCAACATTTGACCACTCGTACCGGCAACCTGCAAAAAAGGAACATTGATTTTTTTCGCCTGTTCATCATTCAGGTTACGATTTAACAAGCCATTTAAAATCGACTGGTTTATGCGAGCAGATCGGCAACGGTCACGAATCGCCTTTTGTGCTGTTAAGATTGACGCGAACTCCCACTCTCCTAAATCTACTCCTGATGTTGATAAAAATCGTACATCACATTTGCGACCCTTGATGTATTCTATACTTCTAGTTAATGGACAAAAAGACTCGCCCCTTTGATGCATAAAGTATGGTGTTAATAACTCGTGAAAGCATAATTATAAAGAAACATATCTCATCATTAATTCATTCACACAAACCATCTTTGACGTATTACGAGATCTTTGTTCAATCCTTCGATGATATACAAACAGACCTTCATAATTATGTCGATTTCTGTGTGCCCAAAATCCAACATATCATTCTGATTTTTGCATCTATAAATACTGAACACAGAATTAAATCAATTAAGTCATGAAAAGTAAGAATAAATGGTAGAAAAAATATGTAGTAAAACTAATTACAAGTCACAATATATTTTACTAAGTTTGTACAAGTAGCTGTTCTCCTTGGAATTAAAGTGCGTCTCGATACATAACTTGTACGCCTCATTCGCTTTTTCTTCAAATACCAACTGTACAAGAATAACGAGTCAATATGCATGTACATACAGAACAAATTAACTCGAAAAAATGCACATACATTCTCAACTGTAGTTACAAATGAGATTTCTTCATCTGCCATGCGAGGAACTTGTAATATAGCATTGTGATTTTTAATCATGAATTTCCTGTCATCAACAGAGAACCAATCCTTCATACTTGTTGATAAATCAATTATTCGTGATGATCCGTAACGTAATGTGGCTTTTTCTATTGCTGATGTTTTCTTCTTTTTTTGAATTGCTTTTGCATTCGCAGATACGTTTCTGGCAATAATGTCACCAACATTTTCCCCAGAGGGCAGAATCCATTTTTTTTGACTACTAAGTATAGAATCGAGAGTTTCCTCAGGTGCTGGAACTTCATCTTCATCTTGTTCGTTATCCTCACTATCATGATCTTCGGAGGAATCATCATTATCTGATGGAAGCAGGTTAAGAGGAGCCGATTTCTTAATTTTTGTTCCATCTGGTAAAGTATCTCCCTAAAGAAATTAACTGATTACTTCCTGTAAAAGTGAATTTTTGCAGAAAAATATTTAAGTTATACCGACCCTTTTTGATAATTTCTTTTTTAACTTTACTTCATTAAAACGAACTCGCTTTGTTTGTTTCTCATCGTCCTAAAGGATTAAAATGACAAATAATCAGTTCCACGAATCCTCGAATTCCTGATAAAAAAAGCGCTTCTATACCTCTTCTTGATCTCTTTTATTCATAATTATATTAGAAGTTCCGCCATTGACATCCCCTATATTCCCGGTTATATTCCCATTCCCATGGATGTCCGCAATTATTGGCTGGTTAATATGAACTTGCCTTCGTGATCGTTCTTTCTCCCACTTTCTTGCTGTTTGACGATCGGTTTTAGGTTCCTAGAAAAACGAAATTTAAGAGATCAGTACTATTCTCGATCTAATAAGCCTACAATAATCCTATTTCCTATCCCACCGGAACATCAGACAACCAAGTAGGCCACCTGTGCCCAGTGGGTCCAGCATCAGATCAGCAAGTAGCCTTTAAACATCAGGCGACCAAGTAGGTCACCTGTGCCCTGACACCAGTTTTGTGGCTCAGCGATTAGCCTTGAATGACAAGCAACCAAGTAGGTTCGTGTCACGCCACTAAGACTGTTGTGAAATCTCCTGCGAGAGTAGAAACTAGTTCTACGGTAGTAGCATAATAGGACCAATAAAAAAGTACTTTCTACATGGCATTGTGAAGTTTCTACAACAGCCTTCCCCACCTACCCGCAAAAAAAAGTTTACTTGCCGTTTTGTATTTATCAAGGAGCGTTTTTGCTATATTCTTCCTCACACCATGTTCATTCTCAAAAATAGTATCTAGACATTTAAGGTAACAATCTATTTTCTTATCAAACGGTTCCAGGTCGCACTCGTTCAGAAACCCAAGGATATTCCATTTCGAGGATTTACGATCGAAAAAATTTATCGATTTACCGGATTTTTATCGTTATAGTAATATAGAAAATCGAAGATTTTTTTTTTTATTTGATAGCTGATCAATTGATATTAACACTAATAGTACTAATAGTTTATTTGCGTTCAATATTGAACATCAGATAGTTTATTTTGCATGATATTGAACTCTTTATTTCTGTATACTATATTGATATTAATGAATATAATAAGCTAAGAATTTAGGTGACTGCAATGTTAATTTTTAAATTAACTTTTTTAAAATTCTATTATTTATCAAATTAACCAAATTATTCGTGTTCTAAATTGGTGTTGTTAGAATCAATTTCTTGTAATGACTTTCATAAATTAGGATCGTCAAATGATTTTTCAAATCATTCATTTTTTATTGGATAAAATCTAACAAATGAATGCAAAATTCTAATAATATTTCTAACCTTCTTTAGCTGTAGAAAATCCATTTTTCTTTGTATTATCAACTATATTAGCATTTGATTTTCCTAAATAAAATATTTTATATTAAATTATATTTTTTTATTAAGAGAATGACAAAAAAATTTAATATATCTCATTTTCTTTTAATATTATTATGTACACTCCCTGGCCAAAAGTTTAGGACCACCCGATAAATTTAAAAAAAACTTAATTTTTTTATTAAATTACATTTTA